ATTGCTTTGCTCCCTAACACACCACCACTTGTGTACAGCAGGGAGATGTTACCTGACACAGAATGGTCCATACTGTAGGATTTTCAAATAAAACCAAGTCTTGAATCAGGAAATAAACATTTCAGAGAGTTTTATTCTCACTACACAGGTCTGTGCATTTGCTTCCCATCTATTAGCTAAACCTGAAGTAGAAGACACTTTAACTGCCAGTTCTGCCATGGTCATCACTGAGCTGCCCATTACAATTACCATTGGGCATCTGCATGGAGAACGTAAGCAGAGAAACCTACCTGGCAGTCAAGAACAAAATATCTCTGCTCCCACGTATCACCAAGTGCTCCCCACTCCTTTTGGAGGAACCCTTACTAATTCCTCTAATTCCTTATCACATAAAAAAAGGAAGAAAGACCAGAAAACTCTCCCAGCCAAGACAAAGATGCTATTTGAAGGTAGGCAGGAAATGTCCTAGCTCAGGCGACATCCTCAGGAGCTTCTCTGTTGTTCAGCCAGTTAAAATCCATTGCTGTACAACAAAAGCCTGTGGAAGCAAGTTCCAGATAAAAGCTGAACAAGTACCTCGAACCGTACAAAGTTTCAGTGACTCTTCAAGGGTACAGAAAGACTGCTCTTACAACAGTTTGGGCTGCTGAAAAGGTTGACCCAAAGCCAAGGAACGGGGCCATACCCCATTAGGTTAATGGCACGCAGGTAGCCCTAGAAAGGCTGCTTCTCGTCCATCCAGGTCTTCATCTTCCCTTGGGCACCTAGACCGCCCAGGGATTTCAGGCGCCTTCCCTACTCACCTTGTGATGGTAAACATGCGAGTAAAACCAAGAAGAAACCAAATCCTGGGAATTAGTGACAGAATTCTGACCAGCTTCAGCACTGCAGGCACGCAAAAGCTAAGAGAAGAACTTGTGCAAGCCAAAAGCCTGAGTCTAATGAGAAAAAAGGAGCACAGCTGGTACGACTTGAGGCCAAGTGGAATATTTGAGCTTTCTTCACCCTGGTCGACCCCAGCTGTTCATGTGTTTAGCATAATTCCTGAGAGTGAAAAAATACAACATGCAAAAGTCCAAATGCTATTACAATTTTTTTCACGCAAAGACACTATAGTGTTGTATTTGTTAAACAAAACATAAATGAATGATCTTTTTTGCATGATCTTGGAATAAGAATAAAGGAGAACCAAACTGCCAGTTGATGCTGCCATTTAATGTGGTTTTCATTCTATTTCATAAGAATAATGAAAACTGTAGTTTATCCATGTAAATTTTTTCTATTTCCATGTCTGAAAAGATTTCCCAAGTGCAGTAAAATAATGTACAATCAAACTGTAACACAGGGTTGCATATGTCTAAAGAGCTGCATACGTCAAAACAATCAACCAAAGCAAAACATACCAAAATGATTAAAATTAAAGTAAAGGTACCTTAAGGTCGGCATTGTAAAATGTTTCCTCAGGACAAACCCGACAGGATAGGGGAAGAGACTCAAGAAAAACCTAAGCAAGTCTAATTTACTAAAAGACTAAGGTGAAACTAGAATACTGGAAAAGAGATTAAAAAATATTATAGAGAATGACTTGCAATGTTAGTAAGACAGTAAACAAATTACTTAACAATTTGGATTAAAAAAAACCCTATTGTCTGCTAAGATCTATAAAAAGTGGGAGGTCAGTACCATATTATCAGATATAGCTGAGTAGCAGTTGTATAATGAATGCAGTGAACAATAACTTATTACAAGCATATGGAGGATTGCAATATGGTGTCAACATTGCAAGAAAAAGCACTTTCATAATATGTTTCCTCTTTCAGTCCATACTAGATCCCATTTATCTAGAAAAGGAGAAGAGAGCAACAGAGGAATTAGTCCTAAGTTTTGTGTGTGTTCTATTAAAAACCGTATCAAACAGCTTTAATTTAGGGGGAAAAAAGTGCTTCCTCAAGTCAGTAAATCTTACTACATTTGCAAAAATTGTTTAGATTTAGTTCTGAAAATATATACAGAAAATTACTGTACTGCTCACTGCAGTAAGCTGGAGTAGGGAGAAAGAGTTGTGCATGCAGCCAGGGGACACTGAAAAGAAATGTACATTTTAATTCCTCCATCTGATACAGGCTGCTCCATTGCACGTTCAAAATGATGCTCTGTTCCACAGTCTATTTTAGAGCAGCAGTACCAGCCCATCTGAGTGTTCAGGCCATAAGAGAGTTGCATTAAAGATGGATTTGAAGACTCCCTTTTCTCAGGGTAGGGATCTGGCTTTCTCAGCAGAGTACACCTGCACCCCAGGAAATGTTTGTGTGTATTTTCTGTTGCAAATAGATCATTCCTTTAGCTCACAAACACTGATAGATCAAACACCACCCACTCGAGTCCATTAACAGCAGGCTTAGAGATTCCAGCTCTGACCACTCCAAAGCCAAACTTCCCAAATCTTCTGCTCCAACCTCAGTCTCCTGCTACGCATAAACAGAAATCAAAGAGTGCCCTGCAGGCATGCTGTCTTAATGATTTTCAGTACCATTTTTTAAGTGCTGTATGTTTGAAAGTTACTGGTTTAGACACGGATACCAAGACAACAAATTAAATTACGTGGCTATCCATGTTTTTTACAGCTTGTTTTATGACTTCATCCAGCTGCCTCTTTATTGAGGGTCACATTATTGAAAATATGAAAGTCTGACATAGAAAATCCAAAGGAGGTCTGCCAATTCCAGTTTTAAGAAATTAATTATATTATTATGGACTTAGCAGAGCAATCTAAATCTAAAAGGAATAGACACAAAACTAGAAATCAAAAGACAAACTACCTTTCCGATTAATACAAGGAGTCAATATATGAATCTCACAAGGGAGAAAGTGCCTTCCCAGTCACACAATGTGGGAAAGTACTTAGAGACAGACTTGATTATTAAAAAAAAATCCAAACCACTTAACCAAAATGGAAATAAAACACATACTTGAAACAGGTATATGTATGAAAATCAAGTTTCAAAACTGAAAAAGTATTCAAAATAGAAGGGCCCTAATGCTAAGGAGCATGCAAAATAAAGAAAACCAAGTGAAAGTTGCATGAAAAACATAAAAGAGAAAGCCTTTTCCAAACAGAGGAATTCTTCCATTGCCTTAGATGACCTTGGAATTAGGACCACTGTCTCCATCTGTGTTTATGCTTCAGGACACAAGTTTGGGAGCATCTTCCCAGATGGATCATGCTTTTTCTCACTTCCCTTTACATCGCCTGTCAGTTAGTATTTGGAATCAGATGTTTTGGTTACAAAATTAAAAGCAGCACTAGTCTGATTCAGTAAAACAGCTCCTGTGGTCACTTGGCAAGTCATTCACCTCACAAAGGTCAGCATGCTCCTGGGCTGACTGGAGATTAGATATAATCAGTAAACATTGAATTAGCGAATATATAAATGGTCAACTGCTCTACAGACTCTTACTACTACACAGGCACAGAGTTTTGAGATGATGACTATATGACATGTTGTAACAGCTTTACCTGGAACCACACTGTTGACACTTCCAATGAGATGACCAAAGCTTAAGAACAGAGACAATGATGAAGTGGACCAAAAGTGTTTTTCTGTTTCTTCACTATACACCCAGGAGATTGTATATTAATATACCAGCATGAGAAATATGACTCATATCACAGAAGTGAGAAAACAGATCTAAGAGTAGCAAACAGATTAAGTTGATTTTTATAACAGAAAATGAAGAAGGTATCAATGCCATCTAAGTTTCAGTATCTTATTTAGGTGACTAAGTTAGAACCTTATGCACATGAAGATTAAATGGTGAATAGTGACTGTGAATCTAGTCTAATGAGATTCTGGAAATTCCTTTGACTATGTCCATGGAGTATCTGTTCTTAAACTATATACCTAGCGCTAAATAGCAAAAATCTCACCCCATAAGTAGTGATGCCCAAAAGGAAAAAAGGAAAAAACAAACATGAAAAAAAAAGACAATGCAAACTTCACCCAAATAAACAGAAAAGTGAAATTTCAGCTGAAACTGCACTCCAGTTTTAGTTCTAGTCTTCTGTAACAAGTTACTTCAAAAACCACAGTGGCATTCAATCATTTAGATAATATTTCAAATTGCTGCCAACAGAAAAATTGCAAACCACTTCAACAAAATAGGATTTTTATGGATCATGGAGCAGTTTTATCTGTGACACCTACTCCAAGCTCAAAGAAAAGGGAAAAAAAGTGTGATAATTTTGTGATATTTTGAAATTCCAGCAACAGGATGTAGGGTTGTACTGCCTTGCCAGAAGAACAGTGTTGGGCCAAACACACCTGTAACATAATAAAGTATGCACAGGTAACAAAATTAAGGGAAGAGAATGGCACAGAAGACTTCAAGACCATAGTGTGCTCCTGTGCTGAATGCGCCAAGGCTGGTTTGGCTTCTTGCCCTAAGCAATGCACACCCAGTGCCTGTGTGGGCAAATGGAAACAGCCAGTGCCTTGGATCACTCTGGCTGTTTTTTCTTACCCCTCCAGAAAGTCCCTGTTGGTGCAAGATGAGGTTCAACCTGGTACGTTAGATCTCAAATCTGTCTATATTGGAGGCACTTCCAGGGCAATCACAATGAAAGAAACATTTTATTTATTCACATTAAAATTCCAGCAAAGATAGGTGCAAATAATGGAAAATGAAGTAACTACTGATGAAAGCATCTTCTGTTTCAGTATGAAAAATTACGCCTTCCAAAGACCACTTTGTACAAAGATTTTTTGACTGTTTAAAAATAGCAACACTTCATTTTGAAAACTTTAGTGCAACTTTTTACAACTTGAGATTTCATCTGCTCACCCCTACTTTGATAGACTCCCATCCCTTTGGCAGCCCTCTCAGAGAGCTGGCACCTTGAAGACTCTAAGTACCCTGAAGCTCAGCAGTGAGACTTCCAACTCCAAGCTCTACACACGGAGAACAAATTAGTGTCCTAACAGTGAACAAGCCTGCATTACCTGAGTTTCCAGGTTCCTGGTTTCACAGGGTGAACCAAAGTTCTCATATCTACAGCCAAATGCAGTACTGGTCTGGTGTAGGCTGTGAGAGCGGCAGGACGTTGACTGTGGACCTAGGAACCACGACACGACCTGGCTATGGTTAGGTCTCCAAATTGCAGAACTGACCCAGGACTGGAGTTTGAAAACCCCAAAGTCTCCCATTTCACCGCTGACTTGAAGGAAGGACAGTTCTTGGATCCTCAGTAATCTCCTGGGTAGACAGCCAGGAAAACAGGCAAATAGTCATCAAAACTCTGCTGATGCTGTCACAGAACTTCAGCGACAGCAATAGCCTTCTGTGACTCATTTTAGTCTGGTAAATAAGAATATGTCCATTTAAAACTATTTAATTGAAACGCTCCTGGTAAGAAAAAATAAAATTGCAAGAGCTGAAGAATGGAAAGAGGGTGGAGTTCAATAGAAACACTCCAAAAGAAGGAAAGAGCAACACTACAACCTGACAAGTCTGGGAGAAAGAAATAAAAGATCTGAATCAGTGAACAAGAAAAAGAAAATACTGCTTGAGGAGTAAAGCAACATCCAAAATCTTCCAACATAACAAGACGAAGTCTGGTATTCACATATACCAAGTAGGAATGAGACAAACTAAACCCGTGATGTGGAGGAGGAGGAAATCCAAGATCCAAAGTGTGATTCTGGCTATGCGATTCACTGAAGTTACAGTACAGTATTTCTTTCTAGCAGAAGTTAGTTTAATTTCACTAATAATGAAATTATCTTGAAACCCACTCAAATAAAAGACCGCTCTGGATCTCCTCCAGATCCAAAAAAGACATATTAAGTGATTTAAATGATAAAGACGATGAGAAAACTGAGGCTGAGATGGCCAAACCCCAGCTGGACTGTAGGCCAGTCAGGTTAGCAATGAAAATATGACCTGCGTGAGGAAAACTGTAAATATCATTTGTATGAAGTTTGTGGCCCATAAATGTAATCAAGCTGTGGTTCTGACATCCAGTCAAATTATAGGTAAAGTTTAAAAGTCTACAATTCTCTGAGGTGGGTTAGAAAAAAAATACCCCTGAGTTGGAATTTAACTAAACTGGTATCGTGAATGCACAATGACCATGATTTGCTTGACCTTTTGACCATTTTCTGACTAAATCTTTTGAGAATAATGGCAGTTACAAGATTTTGTTTAAATCTGAACTGATACTGATCAGCAAGTCCCTTGATTACTCTAATTCAAAACAAATACTTTAGGAGCAAATTCTGAACTGAGATTTTAAATGTAATCCCACATCACCTACATATCCCCTGCAGCTCTTACTTTAATTTTATCCACCTCCCGTCTGGAATGCCAAACCACAGAACGCTTTTCAGCACAGTATATTATAAAGCTCATTTGCATTAAATTTATCATTTGTGCTCAAAGTTCCACAGCACAAAGATAGAATAAATAGAACCCAAGAAAAACTAAATTACATTCTAAATAGGGCACATTTATTAAAAAGAAAAAATTTATAATGCCCAAAGTCAGAGTCAAAAGTATCAGAATTAATGTAGTTTTTTTCATGAATTGCTTTAAGTATAAGCAGTCAAGTAGAATCACATGTTTGAAGTCATTAAACATGTCTGGCCCTAGAATAGGTTAAACACTTCCTAACCACAATGTAAAGTCAGAAATCAGTTACGGAATCAGAAAGCACCAGCTGAGCTGTAAGGTGCACTGCTCTAAGCTGTATACTTAGAAGAAAGAACAGAAAATGAATACTGTCTGCCTTTACACAACACTTGAAAAGCAGAAAATCAATGTGGCACTCAAAACAGGTTGCAGTAAATTGTCTACTGGAAGCTGATGACCCAAAACACCAATGAAAGGCAAGGGCCATGCCAGACTCACCTCCTCTCTCTTTCCTAAGCAGCAAACTACATAAAAGTTTAGCCAAGAGCTAGGACTGCTGTGGCGAAGCACCCGTGGCACTCCATTCCCTGGCTCATAGAGAAACAAGCAGCCCACATGCCCAGGTGGTTCCCAATATTGCCTCAGGACTGCTGCCACCTTCCAACATCACTGATGTGACATCAAACTTTTCCAAAAAAACCCATAGCCTGAATATGGAGAACTTAATTATGATAGCACCTCTTATCTCAACGGAAGGCACACAAAGAGCAATGGCAGAAATGTCAGCTTAGCTTAAAAAGAGATGGAGATCCACCAACCAGGCAGATGTAGTTGGAGAGTAAAGATTAGGCTTTTCTAAAAGCTGGGTTCAGTAGATGAGGACCTGGACAAATTTTTTGCCATTTACATGTGTCATATATAAAGTGGATGTAAATTATATAAATTCCCCAGTAGAGACATTGGGAGAATTGACTTGTAGTATGAAGCTTTTCGAATGAAAATGAACAACTGGGGGAAGGAAAATGGACTGAAAACAAAAGGAAACAACACTCATTTACACATGCTGGAAATTCATTTTGGAAAGTACTACATCTGGTAGAAAGATTAGCCATTATCATGAGAAAAGGCAGTGTATCTTAAATTCTGCCTGAGAAAGGGATCATTGAAAGGAAATACCTTACCGTAACATCACAAAAATGAAAGCACTCAAGCAACTCAAGTCATCCCAAGTACTGTGTTAACAAGAGATACTGAGCCAAATGAATTTCTGGGCTAACTCCAGTGAAGAGAGCTGTTACACCAGGGATAAATCTGAGGTATTCTTTATTATACAGTGGCCATTCAGTAGGCCTGCTGCCAATATATAAAGACAAATGATACGGAACAGTGGTAAATAAAATAAAGTAACTGATTAGCAACAGTGCATGAAGTCCTCCTATGAAGTATCTTCAGCACTCTTTATCTGTCAATCTGTGTGTGGCCAGACATATCTCTACACATGTTAACAAGACGTGCTTCTAGTCTGTGCAGAAGTATTGCTTAATCATTTTTTATGAGCACTTTGTCACATCATGGGTTTTGGCAGTTATCCTACACTGTCTTGCTGCTCAATCCATACCCATGGCAGACAGTGGTTTTACTAATTTTTAATTTTACAAATATTATTATATAAAACTCTATTTAGCAATGAGTGACTCTTAGCAACTCTTAGGTGTACTCAAATTACAGCCTGCACACATAGGATCACATTTACTCTGTGAAAACATCATTACTGCATATGTATAAGCACACATCATGCATGCACTCTGTGTTCTGCCAACAGTCTAATGATAGAACAGGAGCATTCAGTATATAAATCAGTGTGTTTGGGACTTGGCTATCCAGAAGGTCAAGGGAAGGTCCAGGAGGTCCAGGGAATACAATTTCAAAAATAATGAAGAAAAGCAGTTTTGTCTAACAGACAACTGTCAAGAGATCTGGTTTGTATTTCTGCTCTTGACTTGCTACTTTCACTTGCTAAGGAAAGCAGTTAAATTCTTCAGAACTAGACTTTAAGGTATTATGTCTTTTGGTGAAAGACCAGACAATTAGCAAAATTATGGAGATATGTCAACACCATGTGAAAGGACAGGACTGTTGATCAGGGGGATACACGCAGTCTGTTGGGAAAGAACCAGAATAGCTTTTGCAGTGGGAAATCCT